AAAAAATAAAAAAAAAAAAAAAAAAAAATAAAAAAAAAAAAAAAAAAGAAAAAAAAAAAAGAAAAGATAACTATTGATTGGTTCTTACCTCATTTTTTGAAACAAATACTCATTATATTTACAATGGTTCAACAGATGAACCAACGGTCCTCAGACTAACAGCCAATGGCAATGAGGCGACGTCCATTGAAGTGAATCACACCACCCCTGTGACGTTGTACTGCGAGGTCCAATCAGATGTCGTCCCGGCCAGGGCGCTGATCACCGCCGGAAAGGGTCTGGGCAGGATCAGAGAATGGCCGTCCAACAACGAAACCCTCACGGTGACGCTGCCCAGCCTGAGCTGCGAGGATTCTGGGAGATTTTTTTGTAGCGGACTGAACGGGTACGAGAAGAACGACACGACGAAATGGAAATATGTGGACATCAACATTGTGTGTAAGTTCTAAATATACAAACCAAATGTCATATGTAAGTTCTACATAAACCTCATGGCACATTTAAGTTCTACATATATGAACTGCATGGCATATGCAAGTTCTACATATATAAACCACATGACAAATGCAAGTTCTACATATACAAACCACATGTGATATGCAAGTTCTACATCTACAAACCACGTGGCATATGTAAGTTGTACATCTACAAACCACATGGCATATGTAAGCTCTACATATATAAACCTCATGGCACATGTAAGTTCAACATATATGAACTGCATGGCACATGTAAGTTCTACATATATGAACCTCATGGCACAAGTAAGTTCTACATATATGAACTGCATGGCACATGTAAGTTCTACATATATGAACTGCATGGCATATGCAAGTTCTACATATATAAAACACGTGGCATATGCAATTTCTACATATATAAGCCACATGGAATATGTAAGTTCTCCATGTATAAGCCACATGGGATATGTAGACATTAAACAATAATAAGTTGAAGTTCTATACTCTCAATACCGTGGCTCATTTTTTTAAATATCTCTTCTACTGTTGAGTTAAGCGTACCCCAAAAATGAGTAATTTCAATGGTTTTTCTAACTGAAACTAAAACTCCCCCCAACCAGGTGCTCTGAAACCCAAGGACCCATCTGTCGTGAGCGTCCCCAACACCATCCAAGTGTCCCCTCAGGATAACACGGTCTTCACCCTGGAGGTCTACGGCTACCCGGTGCCGACAAACTTCGGCCTGAAGATTGAAACGGGGAGGGGCAAGGAGGACGTGGACAAGGGCGGCTATGACATCACCTACATACCACTGACGCCACCTGTCGGCCAGATCAAGGTGACCATCTACGACGCCAACACTCGCGGGACGACCACCTACTACGTCAGCGTCAAGAACAACGTCGGAGAAGCTGTTGAGCTGCGGCTGGACGTTGTCAAAAATGACCCGGTATTAGCTGAGCCTAAGCCAGGTGTGTTGACAGAGGGGCGTAAGATAAGTAATGGTGGGCAAGAAAGAGGGGGTGGCGTCAAAGATCAGGGTGTGAGAGATGGACAAAGTGGTGCTAAAGACGTGGCCAATGGACCGGAACAGAGGAGGACAGTAGGTGACAGATAGTTTGACAAACAGGTGGATAAGGATGTGACAAATATAATGAGAAAGAGCTGGATAAGGATGTGACATATAGCTCGACAAGGTGGTTGCTAACGACGTGACAATAGTTTGACTAAGTCGTTGCTCAGGATATGACAAATTGTTTGACAAAGTGGCTGCCATGACAAATATTTTGACAAAGTGGTTGCTAATTCTGTGATAAATAGTTTACAAAGTGGTTGCTCAGGATGTGACAAATTGTTTGACAAAGTGGCTGCCAAGGATATGACAAATATTTTGACAAAGTGGTTGCTCATGATGTGACAAATTGTTTGACAAAGTGGCTGCCAAGGATATGACAAATATTTTGACAAAGTGGTTTCTCAGAATGTGACAAATTGTTTGACAAAGTGGCTGCTAAGGATGTGACAAACATTTGACAAGTAGATGGATAAAGAGTTGTCATATAGTTTGACTCACATCTCTATACGGAGGTACCAAATAGTTCGATCAAGAAGTAATTTAGGATGTGTGTAAAAAGACTTAGTTATAAGCTCATTCATCAACTACTTACTTTAAAAAAAAATATCCATTAGTTTAGAAGTCATATTATTTAGTACCACTAAGAACAATAACAAAAGTCCGTTTAAAAAAAAAATTATTCATGTAGGAATTTACGATTTCGAAAGTGGAGTCATACATTTGCTGATTAGACTAGTTGTCCTGAACATCTACAGGAAACGGAAGTTGGTAATGTTCAGAGACCTGGATTTTAAGCAGGTCTCTAACTTGGGGAAGACGACTAGTTTAGCAACAGTGGCTTAGGAAGCGAGTGTGTGTGTGGGGGGGGGGGGAGGGGGGTCTGCACCAGGTGGAATTTAAGGCTAATTGCAGAATTCTTTTTGTGGGAAGGGGGGGGGGAGATGCCCCGGTCGATACCCATCCTATCTACGCCACTGTGTACCAAGTCACCATATAGACCAAACTGTTAAGGAATCTGTTTTGTTCCATATTAATATGACGACATGCAAAGAGGGATACAAAAAAAAAAATCAGACTTTATTACAGAAAATGATTGGTCCCTTTAAGTTGGTAATGATTATATTTTAAGACATTTTTTCACCCTGTCTTCACACGTAAAGCTGATAAAGGGGATGACAATGGTGTAGCGATTGGCGTCGGAGTTGGCGTCGCCTGTGCCGTCATCGTCATCGTCGTCGTCGTTGTGGCGGTCTACCTGGTCAGACGTAAACAGGCGATGCGCAGAGACGCCAGGTTTAGAAACGCAGCGGCGGCGCCGAGGGTTCCCAACCTATATGACAACGAGAGTGTCTACGACCACATCGAAGGTAATCGTTAACATTGAAATGCCAGGTGGACTAACACATTGAACTAGACGAAATCACGAAGCCAAGTGTATTCACCCCCTCATCAGAAAGGGTTGGACCTAACACGGGCAACTATAGCAAGAATGCCAACTTACAAATTTACCTATACAAATAAATGTCGAAGAAATTATTATTTAAAAAAAAATAAATCAATCACTAGTCTATAATTGTTAACATGGACAATTCAATGTTGACATACTTTTTTTTAACAACGAAGGGCCCTGGGGGTTCCTTGTTATTGTTTTAATCGGAGAGGAGGGTTTAGACAAAAGGTGCCATCAGACATAATATAAGGTGTAAGGTTATCTTATGTGTTTAATGTCGTCTAAGGTGTGATGTTTTCGTATGTGTTTAATGTCGTCTAAGGTGTGATGTTAGCTTATGTGTTTAATGTCGTCTAAGGTGTGATGTTAGCTTATGTGTTTAATGTCGTCTAAGGTGTGATGTTATCTGATGTGTTTAATGTCGTCTAAGGTGTGATGTTAGCTTATGTGTTTAATGTCGTCTAAGGTGTGATGTTAGCTTATGTGTTTAATTTCGTCTAAGGTGTGATGTTATGTTATGTGTTTGGTGTCGTCTAAGGTGTGATTTTATCTTATGTGTTTGGTGTTGTCTAAGGTGTAATGTTATCTTATGTGTTTGGTGTCGTATCTATACCTTATTTTGCTTCTTTTTATTACCTGCCATTGTTTATGAGTTGTTTTATATGAGTAAATCAAAATATATAAAAAAATGTTTTTATGTTATGTTTGTAATTTCAGAACAACCGGTCGAACTCGCCAACCCATATTTTAACAAATAGACGTTTGATGTTATAGAGACGAGACATTTTATATTTTAGAATAGAGACACGACATTCGATGTCACAGAGACGGGATGTTAGATGTTATAGAACACGCGACATTTGATGATACAGAAACGAGACATTTATTGTTATAAAAACGGGACATTTGATGTTATAGAGACGAGACATTCGATGTTATAGAGACGTGACATTTGATGGTATATATATAGAGACGTGACATTTGAAGTTATAGAGACGTGACATTTGATGCGATAGAGACGCGACATTTGATGTTCTACACAAACCTTGAAAGATACTCAGTTTCCAACGAGCGAGTCTTACGACATACGTTGTAACATTGTGAGTCCAGAGCCAGCAAGTCTTGGCGTGAAACAAGTCTAACGAACACAGGCTCGGTTCAATGCCATTCAAGCTGTTATTGAAGAAAGGCAGAAAGCGGGACTTGATACAGATTACCCTTTGTAAATTGTGTCCATGTTATGGACATACACTGTCCATCTGTGTTAGATATACCATCTATGTAGCCATGCTGTGTCTATGTGGATCTACTTTCTGTCTATGAAGATGCAATGTCTGTCCATAAAAATTTACTGTGTGACTATGCGTCGAATTACTATCTATCTATGTAGGTATACTGTGTGTGTCTTTTGGTAGATACACTGTCCGTCAATGCGGGCATACTGTCTGTCTATGTAGACCTGCTGCCGTCCCAGTGTGTCTAAAAGTACCATCTGTCAATGTATTTGAATCGGGGTTTTTCTGAACCAGAGTTGCCCACGCCCCTGGTGGTGGTGGTGTGTGTGTGTGTGTGTGGGGTGTGTGTGTGTGTGGGTGTGTGTGTGTGGGGGGGGGCAGTGTAAAAGGGGGTGCGGGAGACCTAGAAAATAAGGTTCGTACGCATTAACGTATTTTCATTTTTCTGGTCGTGTGTGTGTATGTGTGTGTATGTGGTGTGTGTGTGTGTGTGTGTGAGTGAGTGAGGGAGAGAGAGAGGGGGGATTGGGTTATGCCGGATATTTGTTTTAGCGTCAACATGGGGGACGCAGGATATGTTTTGAAATTTAAGAATGTTGAGAACCCCTGCTTTAAATACATTGTGTCATCCCATATATTTCTAGCGCCACATCTGTCAAGTCTTTTAATTATTCGTCTAATCTGTGCCTGTCTAATGTCAATCCCTTACTCATTTTTTGTTGTTGAGGAAACGAGAAATTGGTCAGTTGGTCAATCGGTCAACATGAAATCTGTAAATCTCCTTTAATCTTTATTATTTTATTTTCAAACCTACTACAGTTTCCAGAACTTTCTCTTTTTTTCATTCACTGTTTAATCCAAACCAAACGATTTTATATATATAAAAAAAATAATTTGTTATTGTAAAATAATGATAAATCATGAAGTCTTTTCTTTCAAATGAATTATTTTTATCATTATATTTATACATACTTATGCATTAGAGCTGTAGAAACTCTTGAATTTAAAATAAATAAATAAATATGTTTTATGCTATTTAATGAAAACTGATTGTAACGTTAAACGACTTTGCGTGTTCAGTGTCTGGTCTTTGTTTCGAACTTGTTTGATTGAGTGGGTTGCCAATTATCGCAGCTGCGTCCATCTTTCTTTAAATTTCAGCTCTCTTTCCATGAAGTGTTCACACTTGTTCGTCAATCCAATCTCATTAATAATTATATTGCGTTTAGAATGAACTGTGTCAAGATGGACAATGAATTATATATACACACATATACATTGGAGCATCATATTGGTGCAACACATGGAAACTCAACACGGCAGTTGTCAACATTTTCCAAGACCTTAAGATTCGAGATAACTGGCCTCTAATTTATTTTACAAATAAAACTGCTGAACTCATATAAAAATAAATTTGTGACCTTAAACATAAAGTGAAATGTAAATAAATTTTTTTTAAAAAATCAACGAAGAGCTGACCATTTATAGGCGTAACCTTAAAGACAATCCCTTCACTATTTTTTTATAATTACTTTGCACTCAGACCCCTTTAAAATCTCTCCTCGCAAATTAAGGGGGGTTGGGGGGCTTCCCAGGTTGGGAAACGCTGGTACGGAGAGAAGCACTATTAACTACCGCGTAATTTCTAAAAATAAAACCAAAAAAATCGTTATTCTCCATTTAAGTGATCACATGCCCTTGCAAACATTGACAAGAGTATTTCCCTTGCTTGGTGGGGTTTTTTCCGAATCTAATTATAGACAAGAGCCTCTCCAAACCCGTGACCAACCGGTTTATCGACTTCCTATTGCCGTTAAACTAAAGTTTACTGAACCAAATCACGCATTGGCCAAGCACAGATGCTTATAAACCGGTAAGCATATATCTGAAAGCAAATGAGGCTCTTGTATAAAATAAATAGGTTAAGGGCACATCTCAGCGCAGGGTAGGGCAAACCCCTGCAGGGCATAGCAAACCAATATGCAAGAACCACTGCAGGGCATAGGAAAAAAATAAACATGAACCACTGCAGGGCATAGAAAACCAATACGCAAGAACCACTGCAGAGCATACCAAACTAGATACAAGAACCACTGCAGGGCATAGCAAACCAAAACACAAGGAACGCTGCAGGTCATATCAAATCATAACAGGACATGGCTAACAATACAGGAGAGGGTTGACAAATGAATGAGAGTGAGCACCACTGAAAGGCAGGTGACACCACTGAAAGGCAGGTGACACCACTGAAAGGCAGGTGACACCACTGAAAGGCAGGTGACACCACTGAAAGGCAGGTGACACCACTGAAAAATGCAGGTGACATCACTGAAGGATACGGGGCACTACTACAGGATAGCGGACACCATTGTAGGATAGTGACACCACTGTAGGACAGGGGGCGCCAGGATATAATAAGGGACACCACTGTCACGGTATGACGGGGGACACGGTACACCGGATGACATGATACATTATAATAGAACTCGGGTCACCACTGTAGGATACAGGACACCATTCTAGGATAGGAACACCATTGTTGGACAGGGAGCACCACTGTAAAGTACGTGACACCACTGTAAGGCAGGTGACACGACTGAAGGATAAGGGGCATTACTATAGGACTGGGGACACCATTGTAGGATAGGAACACCACTGTAGGACAGGGGAAACCAATTGAGGACAAGGGACACCACTGTAGGACAAGGGACACCACAGTAGAACAGGGGACACCACTGTGGGACAGGGGAGACCACTTTAAGACCATGGGAATCTACTGTAGAACAGGGGACACCACTTTAAGACCATGGGACCCTACTGTAGGATAGGGGATACCACTGTAGAACAGGGGACACAACTTTAGGACAGGGGAAACCAATGTAGGACAAGGGAAACCACTTTAATATCATGGGATACTACCGAAGGATAGGGGACACCACTAGCACCACTGTAGGAGAGGGGAAAATAAGAAAGCACTACTAAAGAGTTGTCCTAAGATATGAGAATCCAATGCTTTATTTTGTTTAAAACATTTGATTTCGTTTGGGTGTTTACCTCGAGTGCTCCCCCCCCTCCCCCATTTGAATCCGCCACTGCGCAGGTTTGAATGATTTTACCTACCAGTGAAGCGCACAGTCCATTCAATCGTGACGTCTCAAGTGTGTCACGAGCTGGTGTGTTGACATGAGCGGGGAATACGGACACAGCGTACGCTGTGTGTAGTGTTACCCGCCATTGACACACTCGTGCTCAGGGAGGGACTTGATGGCTTAACGCCAGCGTTGAAAGAGTCATGCTGAACTGAAGTCTGGGTAAGTTGACGCAAGCGTGCAGTGTGTTCATTATGGGTATGATGTGTGTTCGTGAAGAGTTTGTTGTTTTCATGATATGTGGTGTGTTCATAACGAGTATGTTGTGTCATGATGATGATGAGTATGTTGTGTTCATGAGTATGTTGTGTTCATAATGAGTATGTTGTGTGATGATGAGTATGTTGTGTTCATGAGTATGTTATGTTCATGATGAGTATGTGTGTCATGATGAGTATGCTGTGTTCATAACAAGTATGTTGTGTTCATAACGAGTATGCTGTGTTCATGATGAGAATCTTGAGTGTGCATACGTTTGGCGGATATGTGGTTGGTATAATTTGTAGGCATCTATTAAATGTTAATGGCACATTTTGTAATGTATGACATAAATGTGTATGGTGTGATCTCTCTTTTATTCAAATTCGTTCTATTTCAATTTCAGTATTAATCTCTGTGTATATCTCACCAGTACATCTCTATATTTCCATAGTCTATATCTCTCATAATCTCTCTCACTTTCATTTTAAGTTCCCCATCTTTATGTCTACATTCCCTCCCTTTATCTGTGTGTGGCCTAAATTTACAGGTGAGTGGAATGATTCTGATACTAATTTAAAAAAAAAAAATATAATAATAAAATAAATTCATGTTATAAAAAGACAGCGAAGTAAAAAGTTGTTAGTATGTATTTTCATCAACAAATAAAAGAAATAATGTAAAACACAATTAAACATTTCTTTTAAAATTAAAAAAAAAAGTACAAACTAAAGTGTGTGTGTGGGACTCGGTACTATAATAAGTAGATCTATTATTCGTATGTTGATAGGGTTGAAAATCACTGCGTTATACCGAACAAAGAAGCTGTTGCAGTACAACCGAGTAGTAAAACAACACAAAATTAAACCAATGTAACATTTCATGGGATGTCTTCCGCTATCCCTCACCCCATTCATAAAAACCTATCTTATCCTTTCTATTATCCTTTCTATTGTCCTATCTATAATCCTATTAATTCATATCTATTATCCTATCCACCCCTATACATTATCCTATCTCTGATACATCTGGGCACATATGTTTCTATCTCTCACTAGGTTTTTGTCCAGCTATAAAGCTAGACTTTGTGTTTAAACTTACGTTAGCTTAATCATTATGCCCGGATATCATTCCAATTTCGTTGGTAGGCGTTAAAGAATATCAAAATGGGACACAATGCTTTGCGAGCGCACTTGTAGGGTGTAGAGAAATTCTCCCGGAAGTTATTTCTATTTATAACACTACGTCAGTCCAGGTGGTAGAGGCTGTTAAGTTCCACTTGCGTTGTATCGACCTGCACAGTGTTGGCGATGTTGTTTTCTGCACCACACTCACTGACACGCAACACGCTAATCGCGGCACACTCACTGACACGCGCACACGCTAAACGCGGCACACTCAGTGACACGCTCACACGCTAATCGCTGCACACTCACTGACACGCACCACGCTCACACGCTAATCGCGGCACACTCATTGACACGCGCACACGCTAATCGCGGCACACTCATTGTTTACCGAACCGAAACGGTAAATGAACTTTTACAGAAAACCTTCCCCCCCCCCCCCGTGATAAAAAGTATTTGTCGATTTGGGCCCNGTGCAGCGTCGTGACATACACTTGGTATGCCTCGGGGGGGGGGGGCGGCGGGGAGTGAGAGAGACAGCACGGTTTAGTTTTTAGCTATTTACATTTTTATTTCTCTGTTTGCATACGTCACAATGTTTAAAGTTGGGGTTATCAGAAGCAACAATCAAGTGCTTGTTCTCAACTCTCATTTTATCGTCTGAGAGAAGTCGGTTTTCTTAAAAAAACAAAACATTACGACATAAAAAAATATACACATACATTCCACAGAAAAGGTTATCGTTGAGCCAAATAAGCCACATTAGCCAAATAAGCCACATTAGCCAAATAAGTATCCAAAGTAAGCCACATTAGCCAAATAAGCCACATTAGCCAAATAAATATCCAAAGTAAGCCACATTAGCCAAATAAGCCACATTAGCCAAATAAGCCACATTAGCCAAATAAGCCACATTAGCCAAATAAGCCACATTAGCCAAATAAGCCACATTAGCCAAATAAGCCACATTAGCCAAATAAGCCACATTAGCCAAGTAAGCCACATTCGCGAAATAAGCCACATTCGCGAAATAAGCCACATTCGCGAAATAAGCCACATTAGCCAAATAAGCCACATTCGCGAAAAAAGCCACATTCGCGAAATAAGCCACATTCGCGAAATAAGCCACATTCGCGAAATAAGCCACATTAGCCAAATAAGCCACATTAGCCAAATAAGCCACATTAGCCAAATAAGCCACATTAGCCAAATAAGTATCCAAAATAAGCCACATTACCCAAAATAAGCCCCATTAGCCAAATAAGCCACATTAGCCAAATAAGTAGCCAAAATAAGTCACATTAGCCTAATAAACCAAATAAGCCACATTAGCCAAATAAGCCACATTAGCCAAATAAGTATCCAAAATAAGCCACATTACCCAAAATAAGCCCCATTAGCCAAATAAGCCACATTAGCCAAATAAGTAGCCAAAATAAGCCACATTAGCCAAATAAGTCACATTAGCCTAATAAACCAAATAAGCCACATTAACCAAGTAAGCCACATTCGCCAAATAAGTATCCAAAGTAAGCCACATTACCCAAAATAAGCCCCATTAGCCAAATAAGCCACATTAGCCAAATAAGTAGCCAAAATAAGCCACATTAGCCAAATAAGTCACATTAGCCTAATAAACCAAATAAGCCACATTAGCCAAGTAAGCCACATTCGCCAAATAAGTATCCAAAGTAAGCCACATTACCCAAAATAAGCCCCATTAGCCAAATAAGCCACATTAGCCAAATAAGTAGCCAAAATAAGCCACATTAGCCAAATAAGTCACATTAGCCTAATAAACCAAATAAGCCACATTAGCCAAATAAGCCACATTAGCCAAATAAGCCTCACTAGCCAAATAAACCACATTAGCCAAATAAGCCACATTAACTAAATAAGCGACATTAGCCAACAAGCCACATTAGCCAAATAAGCCACATTAACTAAATAAGCGACATTAGCCAACAAGCCACATTAGCCAAATAGACCACAATCAGTAAGCCACATTAAAAAAAAAACAACAACTCATCACCATACCTGTGCCGAGTACAGCCGTGAAAACGTGGCCGGGATGGGTTTGGAGCATCGTGTTGGAAGTCAGACAGCGGCTTCAAAGGTCTGGAGAAAATTTAACAATGAATTTGAATAATGATTACTTTTGTCGGATTACAATGTTTCCTCATAAAAACTTACGGGACTAAAAAAAATGTATACGTTCAATTCTATTAACACCAGCATCAAATTGTCTTCAGACCTCTTTGTTATTACAGGCTGTCCGATAAAGCTGTGTTGCATGCAAGCTTCGCCATGAATTCTGAACAAACCAAAGGAAGCGGTTGATCAACATCACCACAGTGCAGGATTGCATTTACTGCGGGGGTTTGAGGTGCAGTTGGTCACCTCTGAGACACACATAGTAAGAAAAGAGCTTTCTAGAAAAGCGGAATGCACTGATTAGAAGATAAGGGAGTCAAGGAATAACATCAAAATATTGAATGGGTTGATTGACCGAATGCTTCTATATCGCTCGTATCCATGCTGTTTTAGCATGTCCACAGCGCTCTGATGTCATTAAATCTGTTTAAAGGAAGAATTAGGAAGAAAGACACCCAGACAGTTAATCAAAATCAAACAGCACCCGTGAGCTATTTTATTCAGCTACAAACTTCCTTGAATAGTTCTACCCATACATTAATTTATCATAAGTCCCATGTCTTGATACATAAGCAAATTTATTCGATTATTTATCCACTCATCCGTTATAGTTATTTCATCGTAAAATCCATAACTCATCGTCTATCCATGACACCATTCCTAGAATCGCCTGAAGAGCCCGCCGAACCAAATCGTCTACACAAAGCAACTCCGACACGTGACACGACGACGTCACATGTTTACGGATGATGTCGGTCCTCATCATCTCTGCACTTCCGGCTATCGGCGCGCTCATGATCATCGTTGGCATGGCAACGCCACTGTGGTCGCTGGACACCGAGATGACCGCCGCCAACGTCACCCGACACCTCACTTTCGGATTGTGGAAGTTGTGTAGTGATGGCACGTGTGAGACTTTGCCGTCACACTACAGGTCGGGTGAGTAGTAGTTGTAGTAGTAGTAGTAGTAGTAGTAGTAGTAGTAGTAGTAGTAGTAGTAGTAGTAGTAGTAGTAGTGGTAGTAGTAGTAGTAGTAGTAGTAGTAGTAGTAGTAGTAGTAGTAGTAGTAGTAATAGTTAGTGTGCACGTTGTGTACTGACACTTAACTTGCCCATGAGGTAAAACCGAGATGGTCACAGCAACAGGATTGGAAGAAACAAGTTTAAACCTTTGATATTTTGTTGATATTTTGTTGATATTTTTTGAGTGAAGGAATGGAAGAAGTATTACTCTATAAAGCCGGGTCGATGTCTAAGTGTATACTTGTCATATTTGATTGATGTAATGGCGTGCTGGCGTCTAATGCATCCTTCCGCTTCTGGGCATGGAATTCGAATGTTACGAATATAACATCGTTGTTACTCTGACACCATTGTAACACATGTTACTGACATGCTATTTAGTAGGGTGTTGTGTCAGTAGCATGGTTAACTGTTTCTATGTTGATGATTCAGGATGTCAGCTTGAGTAGAGTAATACTTCTTCCATTCCTTCACTCACTTAGCCAGTCACACAAAGAAGTAGATTGATTTCCAATTAAACTCACATTACTTTATTACGTCATCTTTTACAATAATAATAATATTAAGAAGAATCCTTGCATGAATATTCAGTTAATAACATACACAATACAATTATTTCACATATGTATATATATATAATATTCCATGGTATAGAAAATTCACCTCTCAGAAAAACAACCACGTCCTCACTTAACTACGACATCCGATGTACTGCCCCCTGATCACTCAACAAAGCATGTGGCTCACTTCCGCTTTTCAAACACATAATTTACTCTCTTTCCCCGTGAAAATACACGTTAACATAGTTCAAGATTCAAACTATGCCACCTCTCTGACTCAATGGTTTCGTGTGCAAACATGGTCAGTGTGCAAGTGTTTTTTTTGTTTTTTTTTGTAGTTGTTATTTTTTTTGTCGTTTTTTTTTTTTTAAAAAAAAGTTTTGAGATACAAAATTAAATGTAAGAACTGAGATATGACCCCAAGAGAATTTTTTAAAAGAAAAAAAAAATATTAAATGGTTTCGTGTGCAAACATGGTCAGTGTGCAAGTGTTTTTTTTGTTTTTTTTTGTAGTTGTTATTTTTTTTGTCGTTTTTTTTTTTTAAAAAAAAGTTTTGAGATACAAAATTAAATGTAAGAACTGAGATATGACCCCAAGAGAATTTTTTAAAAGAAAAAAAAAATATTCTGAATCGATTTCAACATTTTGAAAATAAGCATGTTTTATTATTTATTTATTATTTTACTTATTTTAGTTTTAAAATGAAGCTATATATATATATATATATATATATAGTTTAGGGGAAGGGAAATGTAATAGAGAGAATAGTGCTTAAGTTGGGGGTTGAACACACAAATTTTACTTCATGAGGAAAATGCCCTAACATCCACCAGCTCACCCACCCACTCACGTTTGTATGATGCGTCTTCTCTACACTTATTGGCAGTTCTTAGGAACAAAGTTTTTCCATACCTGTGTGCATCTTTAAAGCCTTGGTGCTCACTAATCAGCTATTAGCTCTGCAGCAGACCGTCCTGTATTGCAATTGGCATAGCTTCTACTATCCTGACTTTCACAAACAAAGGTATCCTGCTTACCACTCCATTGTTTCACCCCGCAAAATCTATTTACAGCAAAGTTACAATGTTATATATATATTTTTTTACTCAAGATATTATTGATTTTATCTTAATGAACTCCATCACCTATATCCTGTCTTGCTACCACGGCCAGTGCCGAGCCTTCAGAATGTGATTTGCCCTTTTTATTCCACCCTAGAGTACTAATATGATTTTATAAATGTTCTTAACTTCCCTTATCGTCATTTCAGAGAGCGTCATGGCCTGCCAGGCCTTTGCAGTTCTGTCGTTCCTGACCTCCTGTTCGGCTGTGGTCATCACTCTTCTTAACATGCACCTGTATCTCAAACGGAGAGTTACATCGACAAACTTACTACTGACGGCATCAGTCTTGTGCTCAGTTGCAGGTAAGACAGCACATCAGTAAAATGTCATTGGTCAACACGAAATTTGGTGCTACAAATGATAGTCTTGTTTCTAAGTAATATTTGACTCCCAAAAGCGGCACCACCACCCCATCTCTTCCCCCCCCCCCCTCTTGCCATCATATTTCTTCAACATATTTCTTCTTTCCATCATATTTCTTCAACATATTTTTTCTTTCCATCATATTTCTTCAACATATTTCTTCTTTCCATCATATTTCTTCAATATATTTCTTCTTTCCATCATATTTCTTCAATATATTTCTTCTTTCCATCATATTTCTTCAACATATTTCTTCTTTCCATCATATTTCTTCAATATATTTCTTCTCACCATCATTTTTGTATCGGATGCCTATCTTTTCTTGCCTTATGAACATGTTGGCCTCCACTATCACAGAGACATTCATTGTATAGCCATTTTTTTTGGTGTATCGTAATTGATCTTGTCAAAGACTAAAGATATTGTATTTAAAGACAAAGTATGTGGCATTGTATTCAAAGACTAAGATTTATTCTAAATTTCAATACAATTTTTAACTAAAAAAAAAAATTAAAAAAAAAACTCTTTTTTTTTTTTTTTTTGAAAATAAAAGATATCTAAGAAGCAGCATTTCAAAGACGCTTTATCATGGATGCTCTATCACGTATGTTTTATCACATATGTTCTATCACATATGTTCTATCATATCACGTATGTTCTCTCACGTATGTATCCAATCAGCCTAATAAGCTCTACCCGCTTTACTTTCAGCTTTGTTTATGGCCATATGTCTCCTTGTATGGGGCATTCAAGCGAGCTCTGACCTGGCTGTCCACCAGAAGTCCTACGGCTACTCGTACATCGTGAGTTTTGGCGGACTGTGCTTCATGCTCATCGCCATGTTCTTTTTGCTCACCATCCGACCAGAGGAGGGCTACCTGCCAATCTCATAGCCGGCTACCTGCCAATCTCATAGCCGGCTACCTGCCAATCTCATAGCGGTCATGCCACAGTAACTGTTATTGTAACAGTTGTGGATGCAAGGATGTTACAGTTTATTTTTTTTTGGTATAATGTGGTGCTGCTATTGTTGCATATATTCTAACTTTGTTTATTTCTGTGCTGCACTCATCAAGATGTCCTATACTGTCCTATACTGTCCTATACTGTCCTATACTGTCCTATACTGTCCTATACTGTCCTATACTGTCCTATACTGTCCTATACTGTCCTATACTGTCCTATACTGTCCTATACTGTCCTATACTGTCCTATACTGTCCTAATTTTTGTTTTTTTTCTATTTTTTTAGATCCCATTCATTTCCACCCCCCCCCCCCCCCAAAATACATGCACCCTTACATAAAATAATAGGTATTATCTACTGTTAAATTTTCTTCAAATTAGGCATTTAAGTAATTTAACAAATGAAGACAAACGCGCAGATAAATAAAACGTAAAATTAGAAATGGGAAGACTCAAGACTCGGAGGGAGGAAGTTTAGTTTAAAAGAATCTCTTGTCGTGCGGAATTCAACATTTAGAAACACGAAAAAGTCAGACCACCGTGAAATGTGTCTTCAGCCATTCATTCATTTTTAAGTTGTGAAAATGATAGAATGGACATGATAACATAAAGATATTTCAGGTACACTCAGTGTTTCTTTCAGAAATGTTCCCCTGGGGTGGCAGTTCAGATTTTCGGGGGGTGGGGGGGGCAGTTATATGTTAACAGTTATCGTATGGTAATAATGATAATAATAATATAATAAAATACATGCGTTAGTCAGTCTCAAAGTGAAATAAAGTTAGCAATGACAATAAGAAAATTAGAAATAAATAATATTATTAAGAATATTTACATTTGTCTTTCCTGGTACGCATGACTACATTTCCTAATATTGGTCACTGTTGATGAGAGGAAAAAAAGTGAACAACAAATGCACACATGTAAGTAGATAAATATCCACTATGGATGTGGTAAATTTCTTCAAGCGAATCAGGAGATTAAAATTTTGAAGATGGTGAGACGTTACCAGCGCGAGGAGGCGTAGAAACGCTCCCACAGGTGTAGCCTTAAGTCAAGCTGTCGTAGATGTACGACTTATGAACGCCTCGATCGTTTAACTAGCTTTGAAATGGACTGTTTATAAACTAAGGAGAAATTGCAAATCTGTTGAGAAAACTGAGACCTCCGCCGACAGCAATGAGAACCCCTCCAACGATGCTCAGAATGAAGGAAAAGCCGATTTCATAACCGAAGGATCTCATCGGCTGGTGGACGTCTGCTCCCCACACGATGATGGCAATCAAGATGCAGGCAACTGAAATAGGGACACGTGATATAATTTCCATTGAATGATCGTTTCTTGATAAATTTGTACATGATCTCTGACGATTTCTGAATATCATCAAAGTTAAATCTCGCTAAAAGATTATGTGTGTTTCGCTAATACATTAGGTGTATTTTGCTAATACATCAGGTATATTTCGCTATTACATTAGGTGTATTTCGTTCCTTTTTTGCTGATACATAAGGTGTATTTTGCTAATACATTAGGTGCATTTTGCTAATACATTAGGTGTATTTCGTTCCTTTTTGAGTCCCAGTCAAAAATTGTATCTCTCTGGATTTCATTGTTTAAAAAAAAGCGATATATTTTATTCTTTAATTTGTTTTTTTTTAAATTCTATGTGCCAAGTTTCTGCTGGATAGGTCGACGGGAAAATGGTCAAATAACCGTCGGGAGGATTTTGCACTAAACACGCATAAGCGAAGTTGCTATAAAGGATTTAATTATAAAAGCTCGCCAATTGTGGGCCATTGGAAGTTCTTCAGGAGAAAGTACTTCCTTATTTTTCCCAATGCTGGCTTCGAAGACTTTGATTGGACGAGGAGCGTAGCCTTTGATTGGATGGGGAATGAAGATCTTGATTGGATGAGAAATTAAGACTTCGATTGGATGAGGAATCCATTTCTTTCATCTGAGTGATAAAGTTTACTCTTACTGAATGAGAAGTTGAAATAGTGAATGATTGGAATCAGTTCATATAATGTATAAGGCTGGTGGTGTAGATTTTGGTAGTGGTGTTTCACTAATAGCTCCTACAATTTGAACATAATAAAAGTGAGATATGTTGTGTCCCTTATATATCGCGTTCATGCACTTTATGCTTGAGCCCGTGTGTCGCGAGATTATGCATGTCTTTAAAAAAAAATGTGTGTCGCCGAAATGTAATGTTTGGAAAGCATGGGCCTATCGACTCATACGTACGTGATGCTAAACAAGCAGCCAATGAAAACAGAGACAACGTCTTGACTCCACCTTTCCCCAAGAGTGGAAGCGTGAAGTCAATGGCCGCCATAGTTAGACCCACAAAACTGGCCAGCATCCCCAAAATGGCGAAAGCTTCGCAAGACTTGATGTTATCTAAAGGGGTTATAAACAGGTAAATATTAACATCATCGGAGTTGCTTTATTTAAAAAATTAAAAAGTAAAATATATTAATGGTGTTTTTATAAAAAAAACAAAAAAAAAACAACAGAAGTCATTTCGATTTTAAAATTCTTAAAAAATAGATTTTCTTTTCTTTTACTAGGACAGACATTCACTTTGTTAGAGAGATGTTTTTTAAGCTTTAAAAAATATATATATATTAGGCGCAACAAAAAAAACTACAAAGATTTAAAATTTCTGAAATTTAAATGCTAAAAACTCCTGGCTAGTAAAATAATTAAATCTGTTAACAAAATTGGTAACAATATTTAAAAACAAAATGAAAAAACAAAACAAACAACAACAACAACTTTAAACCCCGTCATAAAAAAAAAAGACAGAGTCACTCAGAGTCACTCTGCCACTTTTCACTTTTCTGCCTCCAACATCAAAATAGATGGGTTGTTTTTCACATTACAAATTTGGGCCCCTAATTTCTGAGGCCTCTTGCAGCTGCAAGGGTTCCAGGGCCCACGGGACGGCTCTGAGCACGCTCTATTTTAAAACCAAAAAAGACCCTCACTGCCTCCTCGCAACATCCTCACAAAAGTCTGGCGATGATTTACCTGCCGCATGTCCGTTGTATTCACCGCATCCTAATGGCACACACGCCTTCCACAGGCCCACGTAAAACGATCTAAGAGTTCTTATCGCTGACCACTCGGGGGTGGCAAGTCCAATGACATGCAGGAGCGTACCCACGGCTATTAGGACGACAGCCACCAGAGAAATCAGAGATATTCTACCGCTGATAGACATTCTGAAAAATAAAAAAAATAAAAAAATTAGGCATCTTTAGCTGTAAAAGTAATCAAGAAATTAAAAATGAAATCTCAGTTAGCACGTGGGACGTTTTCATTGCTCTAGTACACAGAACATGCACGGCCGTGGGTAGTCAAAGCTGATGATAGGTCTAAGCATGCATTTTGTTCATGGCTGTCGTGAATTAATGTGATAAAAATGCTTGATAATTAGGGGATCTCCTTCAGTATGTCTCTAAGTATCAGTCTCGCCGACTCTTTTCATTTTGACAAATACTATTTTTTGGTGGAATGATTTTTGGTTGTTGTTTTTTTCCGTAACATTTCTTACTCTAGTGAAAGTGTATCTGATCTCAGTTTTCTTACTCTAGTGAAAGTGTATCTGATCTCAGTTTTCTTACTCTAGTGAAAGTGTATCTGATCTCAGTTTTCTTACTCTAGTGAAAGTGTATCTGATCTCAGTTTTCTTACTCTAGTGAAAGTGTATCTGATCTCAGTTTTCTTACTCTAGTGAAAGTGTATCTGATCTCAGTTTTCTTACTCTAGTGAAAGTGTATCTGATCTCAGTTTTCTTACTCTAGTGAAAGTGTATCTGATCTCAGTTTTCTTACTCTAGTGAAAGTGTATCTGATCTCAGTTTTCTTACTCTAGTGAAAGTGTATCTGATCTCAGTTGCACCCTAAGTTGAGCTTAACATCAATATAATATGTCCGCAGGTTTCATGGATGGGGGCTAGATGGGTCACTACTTTAGTGACAAGTGTGGGGTGGGGGGGGGGGCTGTCAGAAGTGGCACATTCTTAACGAATGGTCCCCATGATGCCCAGTTGCCGTATCGCACGTCCTTAATTTGATTCAAATAAATTCGACTAGTCAACTCGATAATGACCATAAAATAGCCCATGGGGGAAATTGTGAACTATCTCAGGCTTGTTTCCCCTATCAGAAATTTTATTTGGGTCCGCTGACACGGTAGGTCATTAACAGAGCAATTAAAATTACCATTAACGTGTGTATTTAAGACTCATTACGAAACGTATTGTTTGCCGGTGCAGGCCTAGCAGTTGAAGGGGATCACCACCAGTTGATGATATTCATATGTCCACTCAGTTGATGACATTCATGTGTCCTGAGACACCAAGCTGTAATGTATTCACACTTGTGGCTGTTATTGTTGGTGATCGGTCAAAGTTCGGCCGACATTTCGGTAGGTTAACGTGTCGCGGTGTTTAACTTGTTTAACTTGATTAATTTGATCAATAAAAATATATTTTTTTTATGGAGTGCCCAGTTTCTTACTTTTTAAAAGTTGAATATTTAACACCAGCGCTTAACCGGGTGCAGTGTTTTTTTTTTAACACCGGGTTTCGTGTATTTTGAGAAAATACCCGGTAGGTCCAAGTGTTACACACAAACACACAAAAATAAATAATAAAAGAATAAAGTTCTCATTTTTTATAATATGACCATGTAGTGAGAGTGCATTGGATTCGTCAACCGTTTGTGTCAAGAAAGTACCCACTGATGAGGAACAGGCAGTTGCCGGATCCGCGAATAGAGATGCCGGTGTCGGCATGAAGCGCACTGTGTGACCACATGTAGTCGCCTTACCCTATAACGACAAAATAATTCAACCTCTCTAGAAGAGTTCAGACGTGACTCATGAAGCTCGCTGCGTGTCACACTTTTTTTTCACTCGCAACTGTTAATATAAAACATGAGTGAGTTAGGGGCGGGTTTGAAGAGGAAGCAGGACACACCAGAAGCTAAATATATATCTAAGAGATCATCAATGATATTTTTCATAGATGAAATACGCAAGGGTGCAAAAGACTATCATTATTAAGCAATGACTGCAGTACAAGATATGTCAAATTTGGCAAATATATATATCATGGGTTAAAATCAATGCGTATCAAATTGTCTGAAATGTAGTTGGAGACGATTCCTTTAGTGTGATGCTGAAAAATGTGTTGAGACCTTTGAGCCTTTCAATTCTCCACATGAGGCCACGTCGTGGTTTGATTATGGGACACCGGGTCTCACATGGTCTATGGTTAACGCCAAATCCCTGTCCTCTCCTTGGCTGTTCATTCAGGAAAACATAACTAATATGGTATATAATACAAGCAAGGGGCAAATGGGTAAATTGACACTGTTGGCTTGCAAACTGATTGACAAATATATAAATTTAAACGTTTTGAACTCAAGATTTTACAAAATCATCATAGTACCCTTTCCTATACACACACACACACACACACACACACACACACACACACACACACACACACACACACACACACACACACACACACACACACACACACACACACACACACGCACACACACACACACACATGTGTTCTTTTAAGGAACGTTCTCTCAATTTTTCCTTTCAGTTCCACGAGCGTGATCTCCGTGATAGCGCCATCGACTCAGACGATGACCCCTTGGTGGAGTACGACCCACTCCGCACTTGCGTCAAATTGTTGGGAGCTGAGAAGACCCGGCGGGGTGTGGGTGGGTTTAACCTCACGGTGCGGTACATCGAGCAGGAGCAGGGAGTCCCTGTGACCTGGAGAGACGATGATGCCATGCTAGAAGGTGATTGGTGTCCATGGTTGTCAGAATGTGCTGGTGGATCCTAAATGGGTTTTCACTACGGGGAAATATGAGTAGTTTGGTTTGGGGGGGGGGTGTCGTGCAGTCCTGACACAGGTTGAAGCGAATGTATTTTAAAAACCTAACGATTGAATGAATGGCCACTGAACATAATGTAGAAATGTAATTTTCGTGTCCGTCTCCGAGTGATGTCAGCTTCGTGACGCATCCATTTATTTTTCAGGAGCTTTACTCCTTCCAAACATTCATGTAACAATGTGTGCCATTGGCCAATGAGTGTCATTGTTCAGTGTGTGTCACTGGTCAGTGTGTGTCACTGGTCAGTGTGTGTCATTGGTCGATGTGTGTCACTGGTCAGCGTGTGTCATTGTTCAGTGTGTGTCACTGGTCAGTGTGTGTCATTGGTCGATGTGTGTCACTGCTCAATGTGTATGTGCGTCATTGGTCAATGCGCATCTCGACTGAGTATAGTCTTTCAGTCTTTGTCAAGTTAATAATATAATATCTTCGTTTGCAGCCTTCACCAACTATCTGAAACTAGCAAACAATAAACCCATAACATCTTGGGAAATGGCATTTCCTGGGGTGATAACCATCAAGGAAATGCAGTGTCTTTATTATTAGTTTGCTTGTTTTAGAATTGCGTTGAAAGTCCTGAATGTTGTATCTAACATTCACCTCATCTCCCCCCCCCCCAACCAACCCTCAACTCACCACCAGCTTGTTATATTAACTTGGATTTTCCCCTGTAATTAAAAAACAAATTAACACATTTGATTCCTGGGGTGATAACCATCAAGGAAATGCAGTGTCTTTATTATTAGTTTGCTTGTTTTAGAATTGCGTTGAAAGTCCTGAATGTTGTATCTAACATTCACCTCATCTCCCCCCCCCCAACCAACCCTCAACTCACCACCAGCTTGTTATATTAACTTGGATTTTCCCCTGTAATTAAAAAACAAATTAACACATTTGATCTATCCTCCAGGATCCACTAACGTCATCTCGGGCAGGGTCCTGGAGACCAGCGTGGTCATCTACGACCAGATACAGACGAATCTTACGATGACCTTCACGTGTGGGAAAATTGGGTGCGTATAAATTACGAGTGATTTTAAGTGATGAAACTTTTTGGTTTGCTGAACTTTACACGCACACTCAACAACCCCCCAGATGAAACTTTTGGTTTGCTGAACCTTACACGCACATTCAACAACCCCCCAGATGAAACTTTTGGTTTGCTGAACCTTACACGCAAACTCAACAACCCCCCCAGATGAAACTTTTGGTTTGCTGAACCTTACACGCACACCAACAACCCCCCCAGATGAAACTTTTGGTTTGCTGAACCTTACACGCACATTCAACAACCTCCCAAAAACAAAGTTTATTTTATAAATAATTTTGTTTCAATGTAATATTGGGCAATGGCTAAAATATTCTCAAAATATTGGACAAAACATTCACACAAGCAATGCATTTTATAAGAATCCAAATTAGTGCACCCCCCCTCCCCCCCCCTTTTAACTAAGGCTCACAACCGCTTGTTTGTTTTCTCACCCCTGAACAATATTAATATTACAATGCCTACCCGCTATAACACAGGAGATTTATTTCACCAGCTATTTTTAGAAAAAAAAGAAACTATTACGCACCGAGTTCATTTTGGAAATTTTTCTCCAAGGTCTTGTTTTATAAACCCATTGAAAAAAGGAAACAAATGATTTTTGGGGGGTTAGGGCTTAACATTTGAAAGAATGTCTGGTCATGGGCAAAGAGCCTGTGTGCCACGTTTCAGCTCAATAGGCTGACGGGAAGTGGGTCAATTAGCCCTCCAAAGATTTTGCCAGTCAGCCAGTCACCCATGAACAAAAGTGAAGTCAATATGCAGAATTTGAACATAAGAACATTTTAAAGTGAAGTTGCAGTCTCTAGGCTTACGCCAGAATCAGATTCTATAAAAAAAATTAGTCAGGAGATGATGACTGTCGGACTGATCGGAATCCTGAGAGGTCTTCAGTGCTTGAGGTTGAAGACTAGAAATGCTTATTTTGATTCCTACTGACACTTCCTTAGACACACGCAAACATCGTTGATGTCACGTGATGCGTTTGATGTGCTAGACAGCCTAGGCATCTTTATTGACATGTCATACTGCGTCAGTCTTCACCGTACAGACCATCCAAGTACTTAAAAAAAAAAAGTTCATCCTTTCATTTGATTATATTTGACATAGGAACACCCAGGTCTTGGAGTTCGACGTCAGTGAAACGAAACCCGGAACCATGAACCTGGCCACCGTATCTCTTCCAGAAATTTCCTTGCAGTATCCGGGGGATATCCAGTATGAAGACGGAGAAGACAACGTATTTAAGGTAGTTGTGGGGGGGGGGGGAGTCAAGTGAAAGGTAACGCAGGTCACTGCAAAGTCCCACGGACCACAAAGAAATTGTACTCGGTCACTGCGTTAAAAGGGTATGTCGCTGTGAGGCAGTGGTTCTCAACCTTCCCAATGCCGCGACCCTTTAATACAGTTCCTTATGTTGTGGTGACCCCCCAACCGTAAAATTATGTTGGTTGCTACGTCATAAATGTAGAGAATGTGTTTTCCGAATGGTCTTAGGCGACCCCTGTGAAAGGGTAGTACGACCCCCCCCCCCTAAAGGTGTCGCGACCCACAGGTTGAGAATCGGTGCCGCAAGGGGTCGTTTGTAACGCAAGTGACCGTATGTCAGGTCATGGTAATGCGTTGCGCATTGAAGACTTTTAAAAAGGTTTATTTAAAAATAATAATAATTTTTAGCAACTTTTTTCTCATATTTGAACCTGTTTCTTTTTTTCTTTTATTTTCATTAAAGTCTCGCGGTGTCATAATTTCTCATCGGAATCTGAACTGTGAATCTTTCTTCCACATAAAAAAATCCAAATGAAAATGTACTGTTGTGCAGGGCCGGCCCAACGATTGCTGGCGCCCTGTGCAAGCTTGACTTTGGCGCCCCTTTTATGTATAACCATTAACAGAAAAACTAGTTATTCGGTAATGAGTTTATTACCAATGTTATTTTTTAAAGACACAAAATCAACAATAAAATTGTTTTTGTTAACTTGTATCAACATATTTATTTTTTTTATTTCACTTTCTATTTTTCTTCCATGGCGCCCACATGCAATGCTTCCCCCCCCCTCCTCTATTTTCGAAGATCGTTGATGGCGCCCTACGCACACGCCGTGTACGACAAGTTAGAATACCGTTTCTCACCCCCGGACCCCAAGGTTCACACCGTCACTATAATAAACTAAGGGAATTTAAATATTTTATGGCGCGCCAGGCGCCCCTATGGCAACGGCGCCCTGTGCTAGGGCACAGGTCGCACCCCTTAAAGGCTGGCCCTGTGTTAAGCACTGCTCTTACAGCGAGGAGCAAGTTAGACGCGAACACTTACAATTTCTGTCATGCGAATAAAAAAAAAATGTTGTAATAGAATAATTTGAAAAAAATAGTATTTTGTTATCGGCTTGAACCACCTGTCATTTCCCTACGATTTTCATATATAAAGTCCCATATATCTTACAACCTTCAAATATGAAGCCATTAATATGAAGGGAAAAAAATGCTATTTTCTTTAAAAAGTTTCTATATTTTTTTAATACAATTAAAAGAATCCTTATCGTAAAAAATATTCGTATTTTTACGTTTTAGCTGCTGTTAGATTGTTTAAATTTTAAATATTCTTGGAAGTGTCCCCCACATTTATATCTTACAGGTGAAAACAGAACCGTCGTTAGATGGAAAGGGGGGCGAGTTAGATCTGAACATTTCACTGGCTCGGTTTGACGTGCTGACCAGTGAAATTGTGGAACGTCCCCTTTCAGATTTTGATTTCAAATTCTTGGAGTACTTTGACAGGTAGGGCACTAGCATGGGCAATAGTGGTTTAGACACAAATTGTGGTGACTGTTGTGGCAGGTAAGGCGGTAGCAAGGAGCACACATATAGTTTATACTCAAAGTGTGAGACTATTGTGACAGGTAGGGCGATTTAACGAGCCAAGCATGTATGAGAACGAACACAATGGACAACTGAGTCGCGAAGGTCAGAGGAAAGAGTTTGTGTAGGTTTTGTACCACGAATGAGCAACATGTTGACGACCACTTAAAACTCTTTCCGAGGTAATTGGTCATCTTGTCAACATATTTTGTAGACATTTAGTTTATTTTCATACTTGTTCTGCTATGAATATAGGAGATACTGAGATTATTTTATTGTTGATCTCAACTGGAGATCACGCACTATGACATCCATTGAGTTGTAATTGGCGTAAAAATACATATGCTTTTTATGGTAAATTAGATTTAAATACATTCACTTTCACCGTCAATATATGTTAATGAAAATTGTGTAAACTTTGACATAATATTTACATGTTCATTCAATTGAATTTCAAGCCTGGCAGTCGGCGGTGTGAATGAAGTGCAGATCACTATGAAGACATCAAAGCAGCTCTGGAGTGGCTACATCGCCTTTGCATTTCGTCATCAGCTGACCGGAGGGATTGTGGTCTCTATAGCAGTATGTAGCTTGAGGTTATGCAACAGCTATACGAAACACTCCTAGCTATACAGCAGCTATATGAAATATCACTAATACCCTTAGCTATAGAGCGGCTGTAAACAATGTTCCTAGCTTTACAACAGCTAGACAAACAGACCCTAGTTATTTAACAGCTATACAAAAATCCCTGGCTATAAAACAGCTATAACAACATATCTAGCTATACAGCTGCAATTACAAAATATTTCTAACTATTCAGCAGCTATACGAAACATTCCTAGCCATAAAACGGCTATACGAAGCATTTCTAGCTATTCATCAGCTATACACAATATTGCTAGCCGTACATCATCTGTACAAACCATGCCTAGCTCAATGATGGATCACCAAAGCAAACATTTCTAGTCATTAAGGATTATAAGAAATAAGGGTTTTGTTGCTATATTTCTGCCATAGAAATATTTCTAACTATACACCATTTAAAAAACCCGTCCCTAAAGATGGCATGCATTCACATACGTTGGACTATAACCAGGGTCAGTCTGGGGCCATTTATTGAGGGACAACAGTTTCACACAATCTTTTTAGCCGTATTCTGGTCAATTTTGCCGCAGGTCACCCACCGTGTCATAATAAGACCCTACAGCCAGTCCACGTCATTTCCACCACGTTACCTAGGCATAAAGATAACTCCTGTCAGGAGGATGGTGGGAGACTGGAATGCTGTCCCTTGTATGTAAGTAGCAATAAATGATAGAGGACATTTATTATCCGAAGAGTTAAAAAGAGTAAAAATTGTATTGCACAATAGCGAAACTATCATACGCTATTCCCAGCTGTACAAAAAAATGACGTAGATTTAGACCACGCGGCCCATAAATGACGCAATTTTCGACCATTCTGCCCATTAATGACTTTGTTGTAGATCATGCTGCCGAGACCATTCCACCCAGATCTGATTTTGTCTTAGACCATGCCTTCCAGACGTGATTTTGTCGTAAACCATCCATGCTGCCCCCACGTGACTTTGTCGTAGACCATGCTGCCCAGACGTGAAATTCTCGTAGACCATGCTGCCCAGACATTATTTTGTCGTAGACCATGCTGCTCAGACTCGACTTTGTCGTAGACCATCCTGCCCAGAATTGACTTTGTCGTAAACCGTGCTGCCCAATGTGACTTTGTCGTAGATCATGCTGTCCAAACGTAACATTGTCGTATGGGCCATGCTGACCTGTGCTCTCAATACTTCTTGTGTTTTCAGTTTCACAATACTCTGTCTTTTATTTTTAGCTACCACAAATTATGCAGCGTCACATGTGACGTCATTGGGGATGAAGTTACTAAAGCAGCCATCGTCCACAACTCCAACTACGAAAACGAAAATGACGTATCCATCGTAATTCTGAGGTGTAAATGAAATGAATTAATGTTTAAATTGTTAGATTAGATGTTGAAATTGTTAGATAAGATGTTGAAATTCTTAGATAAGATGTTGGAACTGGTATATAAGATGTTGAAATTATTAGAAAAGATGTTGAAATTGGTAGAAAAGATGTTGAAAATGGTAGATAAGATGTTGAAAATGCTACATTATCAAGCAAAAAAGAAATTTATTCTAACAGGGCTATGTCTTTAAAAAAGAAAAAACTTAGCTTGCAAGGGGGAAAAAACCAACATGTAAACGAAACAATTTTAAGAAAAGTAATATCCTCTGTAGTTGTACTTTGAAAAGCGGTAACATTGCAAAATAAAAGTAAATATACTGCTGATGTCGTGTCATGCTAAAATCAAATTCTGACCATCTAATCTTCTAGCTCAAAGTCCAGATTATTTGTTTAAAAAAATAATTTGCTGGAACCCCCCCCCCCCCCCCCCCCCCCCCCCCCCCCCCCCCCCCCCCCCCCCCCCCCCCCCCCCCCCACCCACCTTGTATTTCTAATTTCAATATCTGGTAAAAATTGCCAAGAAGGTGTCTCACTAATTTTTTAAAACATTTTTTGTGTGTATGAGTGTGACAAAGCTTTGTTATTATTTGCTCAGTTACCACGAGCAGAGGACGAGAAACTCAATGTCCCATACCATGCTCTTTGCGGGGGACCAGGACCCGCTCAAGAACGAGTGGTTTACCTGTGAAGGTTCCGGCAGGGGCAATGTCAAGGCTGTTGTGGATTTCAACGTGTTTCACTACTACCCGATGACGATTGTCAAAGAAATGTCTTCGGTCACCGTAAAAGACGTGTGTATCTATGCATTGCTTAATTCGTTATTTTATTCAATGATCAGAGATGAGGAATCGTAGACGGGTGATCTTCGTCCATGGTCAGAAGGTGTTTGGCTCTGTATCAGGTTCATGGGGGTCCACGGTCAGAAGGTATCTGAAGGTGTTTGGTTCAGTATCAGGTTCATGGGGTCCACGGTCAGAAGGTATCTGAAGGTGTTTGGTTCAGTATCAGGTTCATGGGGGTAACGGTCAGAAGGTATTTGAAGGTGTTTCGTTCAGTATCAGGGTTATGGGGGTCCACGGTCAGAAGGTATTTGAAGGTGTTTCGTTCAGTATCAGGGTTATGGGGTCCATGGTCAGAAGGTATTTGAAGGTGTTCAGTTAGTTACCAGAGGTTATTGAGCTTGAATCAGAAAGCATTTGGTTCAGTAGCAAGGACATATTAGAGGGAGTCAAGAGTTGCTTCGTAAGAGGAGTTCTTGTAAAATAGTTGTAAAACTTTAAAAAATCTAGGATAAATGAAACGTCTTGTTCCATAATTAGTATATTATTAAGCTTCAGTGGAGCAAAAATATACTTTAATCACGTATATATATATATATATGAAAACCAATAGGTAAAAAAAAAAAAAAATCAAAACTACAAAAAAAAAATATATATATATATATATATATATACATACATATATTATGATATATATATATATTAATAACGTGTTGATCTTTTTATAATAGGATGAGGTGAATATCACTTGCATCATCAACACCCCATATCAGCCTGACGCCAAACTCCACGCGTGGAACGCCGCTGGCCAACCGTTTGCGGACACAACTGAAAGTGTGGACGATCTGGGCAATGGCCTGTACCGCTGGACACAGATTATAAACGTTGACCCCCTGGACAATGCAGGAAGACTGGAGTATGTCGCTTGTGAAGTGGGTCACTCCAGTCAGCTGGTCCACGATTATTACATCTTACCCCAACCCGGCACTTTAAACTAAGCAACGTATTTACTACTGGTAGGGTGTTTACTACTGGTAGGGTGTTTACATCCTGTAGGGTATTTGCATCCGGTAGGGTATTTAAATCTGACAAGGTCTTTAACATCTAGAAATTTTGTAAGGTCTTTGAATCGAAAAAACACCTTTAAATGTAGGAAGGCTTTTAAAGTCAGCAATGTCTTTATATATAGAAAGTTTTTTAAATATGGTAGCGTCTTTAATTCGACAAGGTCTTTAAATATGGTTAGATCTATAAATAAAGTAAGGTCTTTAAATAAGGTTAGATCTATAAATAAAGTAAGGTCTTTAAATATGGTTAGATCTATAAATAAAGTAAGGTCTTTAAATATGGTTAGATCTATAAAAAAAGTAAGGTCTTTAAATATGGTTAGATCTATAAATAAAGTAAGGTCTTTAAATATAGTTAGATCTATAAATAAAGTAAGGTCTTTCAATAAAGTAACGTCTTTAAATAAGTTAGGTCTTAAAATTAGGTGCGGTCTATAAAATTGATAAAGTCTTTACAAAATATCTATTTAAAAGTCAAGCACAAGATCCTTAAATAACACAATAAGGCCTTTTAATTGAGCAAATTTTTTTTTAAAGCTTTCGAAGATATAATTGAGGAAAGTGTAGATTTAAAGACAAATATATTCGTAAATATTGTCTTCCTGTTAAGCGAGGTCAAGGCTAAATCATGATAAAATGACCCGAGGTCAGCGAAACGCGTCTGAACGGTTGAGGCCACATAACAGGTGAAAAAAATATGACTTTATTGTTGTTTGCGTCCCCGGGAAACTTAGGTTTGTTTTTTTTTTATAATAAACGATCTGTAACAAAGTTTCTTTTAACAACTTTCCGTGTCAGATTGTGTTTTTTCTGTAGTCTCTGATCTGCTTGAGATTGTTAACGTCAAGATTCGTACTTGTTAAAAGTCAGTTTTTTTGGTTCGTTGTCACATTGTTTTGTTTGAATGACGTCTTTGGAATGCGTCCATCGATGGATTGTAGGAGTACAGGGAAAAAAAGTCAACCCCCACCCCCTCAAAAAAAAAAAAAAAAAAAAAAAAAAAAAAAAATTAGAGGAAAAATAAAGTGACAGAAAAATGTCACATACAAAACTTTTTATTCACTTTAATTTTAACTGTATGTCCAATTTTTTTTCCCGTGACTTGTTTTGCTATGAATTTTTCTTTCAGCTCACCCCATAGATGCGCTTCTCACACTGTAGATTGTTGACATGTTTTATTGCGAATCGCATGATTTTAATTGTGTGCCTCCTGTTTGAAACACTTTTCCGAAATTACGAAAGTATAACATGTGTTCGAAGAATTAAAAGATCGCTTTACATTTTTCTGAAATGTGGTTGCAAAAATTTATTTTATTGTATTTTTACGTCTCGCAAGAAACAAAGGTAACACGAAACCGCAAAAAAAAAACAACAACAAAAACAACAAAACCAAAAAACAAACAAATAAACAACAATACAAGACATGTTACAAAGGAAACAATCCATATATTTACAAGCTTTACATACACTATTGTTCCAAAGAAAAACGTTATAGTTAGGTCTAAATTTGTTTGAAAATTAAAATAGCAAGTCATCGAGTCGACGCAAACGGGATTTTTGTAAAACTATTTATCACAGTTATTATGATTGTAAATTATACAAGTTCCGAAAGGAATTGTGTAGGCCTACTTTCTTTTCAACTGATGGCTACACTATCATCACACGAGCTGTTTTTTTAAATTTAAAAATAAGTTATGCTCGCATGATTCTTTTCGGGGCTGATTCAAAATTTCACTTCGCATATAGACATAGCTGGTTAATTGTGCAATTTCTTTTCATAAATTAAAATATCCCCCCCCCCCCTCCGATTAAGATAAAAAAAATTTTTTATATAATGACCAAGCAACACGAACAGAGGTCGAACAAAATGGAAAAAATGTTATTCGAGAGATCGTGACTAATTTGGTCTGTTAAGTGCGTCACTGACGCAGACCTTAAATGGGTGGCGGGGGGGGGGGGGCGGGGGTTAGGGGGGGTTATAAGAAAGTGTGACAGTCTGTGGCGCCGGGAGGGGGTTGGTTAAGATTTTGTGTGACGTCACACCCTCTTTGCTTGTTTGTTTTGTCTTCACAGACAGACTTGAATTTGACAGTGATGTTGAGCCTACTGTTGTGACGAATCTGTTCCGATAGAGGATGTCACTACTTATAAATGTAATAGTTGGTAGTGATGTGTGTTTTAGATCAAATTCATTTTAATTAGTTTGCACATTTTTAATTTGAAAACGTGACGTACTTTAGGGGTTGGTGGAGGGGGGTCGGATTTTTGTTTCAGATTGTGACAGGGGAGAGGGGGGGGGTAAAAATTGCCCCCCCCCCCAAAAAAAAAATAGCCTGACGTACCTTATGGACAGCCTCACCTTTTTGTGTTTCTAGTGTTAAGTAAACACACCTGGATAAAAGGTGTCCTAAACAAGAGAACGCACCAGGGTCTGTTGGTCTGAAAGAGGGGGTGTTGAGACCAGGTCAACACTCGACCCCCCCCTCCTCACAGTTTTCAATAAGCCACCTGACCCTTTGCACAAACCTGACTGGCTTAAAATGGTGTCTCTTGCTGTTGAATAGAATCGTCATTCTCTTAACAAATCCTCTACATCAGCCAATTTAATTTTAGGCCTATACCATTGGGATGCTTGGAGTGCTTTGGGGGGGGGGGTGGATGGGGCTGGGGCTGGGAGGGGGCCTGGAGGGGGCTACATAAATTTATTTTTATTGATTTCTAGATTGACATTTTCCAACTCGTTCATTCTTTTCTTTGTATATTTGTTCTCGACCGAATTGAAGAAAATATTTTCATTAAAAACTTTAAACGTTATAATATCGTCAACAAATTTATAGACTTTTAAAAAAATTATTTTTTTAATTTTTCACTTACTATTGCGCTTATACATTTGGTATATATATGTACATTTTTACCTTTCAAAGCTGGCTCCTTTATTTAATGAAACAAAATTTTGCGGAGAAAACTTACCTGTAAAATGTTTGCATTAAAAAAGAAAGTCTACTAATTTAGCATCCTCCAGGTGTTTCAACAGAAAGGAATTATCCTGAGATAGTGTCTGAGCAGAAAATGAGGCTGATTCCCCCCCCCCCGCCCCCCATCCCACTTTAGAAACAAAAATTTGCGGAGAAAACTTACCTGTAAAATGTTTGCATTAAAAAAAAAAGTCTACTAATTTAGCACCCTCCAGGTGTTTCAACAGAAAGGAATTATCATGAGATAGTGTCTGAGCAGAAAATGAGGCTGATTCCCCCCCCCCCCGCCCCCCATCCCACTTTTCCAGGAAAAAAAAGTACTAAAACTTTGTTTAGGATTGTATTCTTTTAAATAATAAATAAATGATAACATCCTTTGTCAGCCTTTTTTTTATATTATTATTATTAAATCTTTTCTATTAACTTTGGTTTGGTTTCTTGGCTGACAAAAATCTCCGGACGCCTAATTGATCCACTTCCTTTCAACCTATCGAGCTGAAATATGGTGCACTGACGCCTTTTCGATGACATACACATTCGATCAAATGTTCAGCCCAACCGCCCCACCGCCCAACCCCCCAAAAATCCGTTTGTCCTGTTTTTCAAGGGGAAGATGGAGGCAATATGATAACACTGATTTCACGAAATAAAATTTCCGATAACTTCGCTAAATGAGATTTTTAAAAAATAGATCGCTAATGGTTTGGTGCGTAATATATTTATATATATTTTTTTGTCTGAAATATTTTGTGAAATTAATCTGCAATTTAAAAGTCGGTGGGTTATTAGAATGTTAATAGAGTTCAGCGGGCGTGGGAAAAAAATGTGCTGTTGCGAGCCTTGAGGTGGGGAACACTCATTGGGATTCTTATAAAGTGCGTCACCTGTCTGCATGTTTTGTCAAATTTAAACCACCCCCCCTCCCCCCCCCACCCCCCCCCCAATGCTCCCCCCCCCCCCCCCACAAAAGTGCTCCATACTACATTTGATAAAGGATTTTTAGAGCAATGTTGTTTTTAGGGTTTTACAAATGATATTCCGTCCAAATCTCATCAACCTGTTACATTCATTTAAATGGTCATGCGATGGGTTGCACAAACTTTATAATATTGTACTACTTAAAAAATAACACAATCGCTCAAAAGATGCTTCTTGCTAGACACTTACGGCTATCTCATAAAGGTACGTACGGCTATCTTACTAGACACTTACGGCTATCTCATAAAGGTACGTATGACTATCTTACTGGAAACGTATGAATTAGTTATAAGTCACGCACACCTTTCCAATTAAACACGTACCATCAATCATGTAAGAACCGTAAGACTATCTTAATGGACACGGAGTGTCTTACCTACTCCAGTCAGCAAACGTAAAATCCAAGAAACTGAACAGAAATGATACAATGGGAAACGGGAGGCTGCTTTGAGTATCTGCGGCCGTGTGCCCGAGAAGGTGATTGGTGGGTGGCTGAGAGTTTTAAATTTAGATGACAAACACAAGGAGATACAGCGTCTAGAGAACTGCAGTTTTATTTGTTTCAGGGTATATAGTAACATTATTTAGGAAAAGATTAATGGGGGAAGAAAAATACAATATCTATTAAGATACGCATGTACTACCAGCTACCTAGCGTGAAAAACATGCAAGCATATGTAACAAGGAATAAACACGGTGGATAACTGTGGATAACAAATGTTTAACATGTTATAAAAAGTACGACAGTAATTCCATAAACATGGCGGATAACTCTGTATTTATCAGGTTTATCACAACAAATAGCAATAACCATCTTTTCAACGAGCTCTAGCCATGATGGATTAGAAATTTGAACAGTAACCATGCTTTATCGTAATAGTGAAGTGGTTCCCAACTGGTGCTTCATCGAGCCCGACGGGCTAAATGTGCGTCTCTCAGGGGCGTCACGGTCGCTTCATGAAACTCATAATATCATGAATCCGTAAGGCATATTGTTAGCCTAAGGGGCTCCCCCATAGAAATATATTCTAAAAATGGCTCCGAGAATCAACAAGTTTGGGAACCATTGCTTTAGAGTATACTGAAAGTGAACACCATCAATAAACACGGCCTGGGACCTAACAATGAACACGAACTGGGACCTAAAAATGAATTACGTAATTTACCCAACCATTGGCTATACAAAACTTCACCATCCTGCCATAAGTTACCCACGATTTAATAATAATTTCTGAAAGCAATTTTATTTCATTAATTTCGGAAAACTTCATCTTAATTTGTTTTTTTATAAAGTGGCGCAGGAAGGTTGGGGCGAAGAGGGCTGTCCGGCCCCCGGGTGGCACTTTTTTCATTTTATGAATGGGCAGCATTTTTGGCCTTAAAAGATTTTGTTTCATGGATGGTGTTGACAAAAATAGTGCCATGCCCCCGGCCGCACCAACCCTAGCTCCCCCAATGTATATACAGAAGCAATATGATATAGTATATTTCTCTAAGAGAATATTAATATTACGCATTATTTAGCATTGCTGCAAATGTTTTCGTAGATAAGAAGATAACAATCACACAACATAGACAGTTTCGCATAGTCAGAAATAAAATACGTAAGGTGCCATCACCGGGCTTACATTGAAGAAATAAACATACGTTAGGTGCCATCACCGGGCCTGCATTGAAGAAATAAATAAAAGCAGCCGTAGAAGAAAATCTTGGTTATTCTTTTTCATCAATAATTTCAGGTTACTTCTACAATGTCAACACCTGCATATTTTGACGCCGTTACAATATTTTAACAAATATATTATCTATAGTTTAACATTTTAAAAAAATACTACAATGATTTCATGGCATCGATCGTTTTAGCAAATTCTTTCATGAAACATGTTATTCTATTCCCTTTATTTCCTAAATTTCGTTTTACTTCATGTTGTTACTGTATGACTGATGAGAGGAAACAATGCAAATTTAAGCTGCGTTATGCTCAGTTCACATGATCAAATTTGCGTCAAGTTTCTGTTTGAACGCAATATGTAGTTAAACAAAATAGTGCTTTTAAAAAGGAATATGACGAAACTTTGATCTTTTGAACTGAGCATAAGACTTTTCCTGTTGAAACCAAAAAAAAAAAATAATTGATTTATGACGTTTAGACAGAAATGAATAAATCTGTTTCAAGAACAAAATTCAGGCTTAAAACTTAAGTCCACGTTACCTGGTCTTGTTACCATTTGGGAGCTATGAAGTCCACGTTACCTGGTCTTGTCACCATTTGGGAGTTATGAAGTCCACGTTACCTGGTCTTGTCACCATTTGGGAGTTATGAAGTCCACGTTACCTGGTCTTGTCACCATTTGGGAGTTATGAAGTCCACGTTACCTGGTCTTGTCACCATTTGGGAGTTATGAAGTCCACGTTACCTGGTCTTGTCACCATTTGGGAGTTATGAAGTCCACGTTACCTGGTCTTGTTACCATTTGGGAGTTACAATCACGCAGCAGTTATTATTTTTATTTAGTAAGAAAATTGCAAACTGAAACATGACCAATTAAACATAACCACTGAACAAACAAAAAAAAAAAAGAAAACTTGAGCGAAAGGTGTACAGACAAATGATGGCCGTATGCTCTAAGACAGGGGCTCTCAAGCTTTTAAAAAAAAAAATAATTACGGGGCATGTCACCTGTCCTTAGGACGTTTAGTCGTCAGTTAACTTTCCGACAGTGACTTGTGGGGTAGGGTTCCCTGTTCGTCAGTTCGTAGTTTGAGAACCCCTGTTATAAGAAGTAGCAACTACAGGTTAAATAAAACTGATAAAATATTAGTTTAATATTTTGGAGCATAATTCAGATTAAAATATATCTAGAGTAAGGGCTCATTTCTTTCAATCGGACTATAGGGAAAGTATTGAAACGTGTTGAAAACGTTGTAGACTATTGATGACGTCATGGACACTTCTGTCCTTTCCAGACGTGAGCTCGCCTAGGCGTTTGTCGCTGAAGGTTCGGGCGCCTCCCCCCGGGGCGCAGAGAATATCCACAGTCGACTCACGAACACCGAGAAGCTGAACACCGTAACCTCTATGGCTTTCCTTCTGCCGGAGACGTAGATGAGGGCGCCGCCGAAACAGACGAGGATCCCGCCAACGAAGCTGAGATAGAAGGACGCGTCGAGGACGAAGCCTCCCTCTCTTAGTGTGCCGTGTACTGAGGCGGCCCAGATGATGACTGACAGTACGATCGGCGGCACTGGAAAAATTATTTTTTTTACAACTTTTATGGAAAACATTGCAACACAATTCTTGTACACCCCCACCCCTCTATCTCTCTCCCCCCCCCCCTGTTTTTTTTTCCCCAAGAGCCGTCATGCGGGGCTCAAAGTTTTCGTGAAGAAAAAAACTTAAAATTTCTAATTGGAATGCCGTGGGATGGAAAAATTATTTTTTTTACAACTTTTATGGAAAACATTGCAACACAATTCTTGTACACCCCCACCCCTCTATCTCTCCCCCCCCCCCCCTGTTTTTTTTTCCCCAAGAGCCGTCATGCGGGGCTCAAAGTTTTCGTGAAGAAAAAAACTTAAAATTTCTAATTGGAATGCCGTGGGGGAAAAAAAAAAGATTATTTTCAGGGGGCCTCAAAAAGTCAAGCGATGGCTCTACTAATTGCTATAAATAATAATAACTTTAAAAAAAATTGATCAAAAGGATTAAAATTAGAAATTTTCAATTCTGATTAAGTCAAAAAAAAATAAACATGTTCAATCGATTTTCTAAACCAACAGGTTGAAACTACATTAGACTCGACATCATAACTTTTAGCGGTAGCGTTCACCATATTTGAAAGTGTTTATATTTGATACACTGACGTACTTTCGACATTGAGATCTCTGCAGATAAAAAAATAAAGAAAATATTGTTTAAAGCTTGAAATTATGTCATTAACTCTGGCTCACGTGAAACAGCGCAGCAAATAAAAGACACGATGGGGAGTCTGTCTATCCTGGCTTTACACAGAAACGGCGTGAGGATGCAGAGAAATGCTGCAGCTTCTCCGAAACTGCTGGACAGCATACCCAGTGCTGTGAAGGCCTGGCATGCTCTGATGCTGCTGGAAAAGGGGATGTCTGCCAAAAAGAAGACGTGGGGATGGGGTAGGGTTGGGTGGGGTGAATGTAATAAACTAGATTAAAGGTATTCTGAAACTTCTTTCATGTGGGGCCATTTAAAATGGAGTATTGGTGCTAAGGAACTGCTATAGTGACAATGCATAATCTTCTAAAGCGATCCTGATTTACGACAAACGTAAATTCACCAAATTACGTTTTTTTAAAAAAAAATATACACATTAAATTGAAGTAGGTAAAGCATTGGACTTCAAATTCTTCTTTTGGCAGAAGTGAAAATAACAGGAATACTAACTGTTCATCGTCCAAGAAACAATATAACATTCGCTGTTAGCCTTAAGCTGCGCTTTGGGAGGCTAGAGCGATGTGTGGGCCATACGTCACCGACATGTTTATAAAGGCGCAACCTGACAGTTTGAGTTAATTATGAAAGAAATATAAGGTTTTTGAGGCGCGATTACTAAATAAGAACACGGATTCGTGTAATAAAAATGGCTCCTAAAACGACCGACACTTACCTGTGAACGTGTATTTCTCACACTTCAAGGCGGGGCAGTAGTCCCAGACACCAAAAGAGTCCCACACGCCCCCGATCTTTCTCTTCGACCAACTCGACGTAATTCCGAAAAGGTAAAAGTAGTTGCCTAGTGCAATCGTCGCCAGAGCTGGGAGAGCTATCAAAGACATCCCCCCTGGAAGTGTCCTGTCGACATTCCTGGGCACACCTAGTCGTGTAAAAAGAAAAAGACAAGACACGATCTTTTAAAATAATGTTACATTGTTGTTGTTATTGTTTATGTTAATTATATGTCTTTTATTATTATTATGAGGTGGTTAGCTACAGCGCAGTACCCCAGTCAACGGCTAGGCTCACGGCAGTTTACATACAAATTAGCTACTGCAGAATTTACAATTGAAAAACAACAATTGGTGAAAAAGTTTGCCCTAACCACCCAAGTTCATTCTAGCTCACCACCCTTGTCTAGCTACGGACAGCACCCAGCTGAATCGAGCGTTGTTATTCAGTCAAAAGGGGGTGAGAGTGAGTCAGTGTAGGACAGTTTGAAGAGATTTTATAGCAGAATTATATTTCGGCCATGTTAGCCTCCTGTAATCTGTTAATCTTTCTGGAACTCCACAATCTCAAATTAGGCTGGTGAGGTAGTTGTGGAGGATTAAACCACGGACTTCTTGCAGAAAGAAAAAAAAAGTCCTGTTTGGTGAAATATTGGTCAGATTCATGCCCTAAAAATATTGAGGTGCAAACAAACATAATGCGGGCAAGTCTAAA